AAAAAGCATAATATAAGAATAATAATAATATAATGATTTAATAGTCTAGGTATATTATTCAGTCCATTTGTATAATAAAAAAAACAAGGAACACATAATTGTTTATTGCAACTAAAACATTTTGTAGTGACTTTTTTACAATGACTTTGAGAATACTTTCTTCCTTTTTCTTGAGCAATATTAAAGTAACATTGGACACATCTGTTTCTTGAGGCAGTTGTGAGTACATGTTTGTTTGTTATTTCTTGATTTATATTGGGTTTGAATGTCAGACATTTAATCAAATTTGATCTAAAATCAGTAATCTTAATGTTTGTTGCAGTTGTTTTTTGAAACAAACATAATGCATTTACAACAGATGTATTCAGAAGAAATTCAAATATCACTTTATGATACCATTTTAATGATTTTCTTAGAGGTGAACCGTATGAAGCCATTTGATCAGAAAAATCAATAAAAGACTTACCTCTATTATAATCTAGTACTACTTCTGGCTTCAATTTATTTTCTCCTTTTCTTGGAACTATTACCATATTATCTGTATGTTTTGTGCTCAACATATGTAGATCTCTTTTCTCTTTAAATTTTAATACCATAATTTTAGATGAACTTTTTTGAGCTATTACTTGATCCTTTTTTATTTTTTTTTTTTTTTTGATTACATAGTCAGGGTTATAGTTTCTATTTGAACGAAGTGTTCCAACCAAATATGTCTTTCGTTCAATAAGTTGATGTACTAAGGAAATACTAGTGTACCAATTATCTACATAAAGGGTGCGACCAAAATCTAAATAGTCATCTACAAGGTCCATAACAACTCTGGAAGAGACACTATCATATTTGATAGATTATTTCACAGATTCTTTACCAGTATAAATTTTGAACTTGAGCGTGTAGCATGGACTAACACAGTTTAAAAACTTTAATGCCGTATCTATGTCGTTTTGTCTGAATGTATTGTTTAAAAATAAGGCGTCCTTGAAAAGCAATCATTGATTCATCAATACACATATCTTTTGTAGGTATAACCCATTGTTTGAATTTTTGATTTAAGCCGTACGCTGTAGACGAGTGAATCTGAAACACGTTCGGGAAAATATAAAAACTATATGATGATAATAATAATAATAATAATAATTTACCGGTATCAGTGTACAGCAGCTGTATGTTTTCACGATAATGTCGTTTCATGACGTTATAATGATAGTCGTACATCAGCGTCTTGCTTATATCGAGCACGGCGAAGCCAATGTAAATCGGCTTGCAGAAGTCGATAATTTTATTGTGCAAAGACACCGCTGCAAGATTTTCGTTATAAGTGGTGCAATACTTAAACGTTGGCCGGTTAACGAGTTTCATGAATCGACGCTCGCACGACACGAGCTCCATCTTCATGCGTTTGCGCATCGATTCCATTGTTTTTCCTGAAAAACAACGGAATAAATTTATATATGTATATACACGATATTATTATAATTATTATTGTTATGATCGGTTATTGTTGTTGTAGTTACCGAACACGGCGTTATTCATTAGTTTGAAGAAATCTCGTTCGAACCCGTTAACCCCGCCCTCTTACGCATCTCCGTGTTGAGTTCGATGTATTTAGCCAACCACGGCGATTGACTGAACTCCAACACCCGATGCACCTATGTACCGTTGGTACATGGAAGACAAACGGTTATTAATATTATAATTATTCTTAATAATATATCGTAACGATGTTATCACCGCCGTCGTAGCGTTCACGACATACTTTATCGACAATCAGTCCGTTGGCGATGGCCTGTTTCAAATTAATGTAGTGCACCACATACTTCTTCTTCGTTTCCAAAGTGGCCATGAGTTTGCGTACTTTAGAACCCCTAGGCACGGTGGCATACGGCAAAAACGGCAGCTCGTTGTGCGCGTCATGCAGACTCTGCGGGTACGACACGTCGACCTCGTACACTCTCCCCACATCGTCCGTGTCGCGCATGGTTTCGAGTTGCGCCAGCGCGACGTTCGGATTACCCGCGTACCACCGGAATCCGCCGTACGGCATGTAGCGACTCATGGCCCATCCGTAAAGGTTATTGCCTATAGCGCGTGGTTGCGGTTGAAATTACGATTAAAATGTATTTAACATGGAATATATATATATAATATTAATAATTACAGTCTTGGTAGACCAGCCATGTGGTGGGTTGCGTGTTGTCGAACCCGGCGATCTTCGCGTTGTTCGCCTTCGCGTAACGCGTGCTGGCCTGTACCAACCCGCCACGTATACCCCGCTCTATCATTAGCAGCATATCGTAGTCTGTGAGCAGCTCCAGTCTTGCCGACGTGTACTTCAGCATGCAGTCGAAACTAAACCCGGGTGCCGTGTAATAATACGCCGGGTCTAGGTTATACGTTTGCATGCATATGTCTCTGAAGTTCTCGAACACGTCGGCCAGAAGCAGCACGTCTATTTTCAGGTATAGATCACTGTAATCGCCTAGGGTTCGGCAATCGAAGTGATCCCATACCCGAATCGCGTGCTCGTGTTCCGCGATCGCTACGTGCTCCTCCTTTAGCGCGCTAAAAAACTCGGAGCGCTCCGGCAGACTCGTCTCGGCCAACCTGTCCCAGCGGTCGGTGTACTCGTAGGGAAATACACCTTTGCGTGTCACGAGAAGCATATCGTCCGGCGCGAACACGTTCGCGATTTCGCGGAATTTGCTAAAGTCCGCGGTCGAAAGGTTCGCGGCCAGGTCGGAGAGTTTCGACGCCATAAAACGACAGGTATCGACAAACCTTATCGTGAACTCTTTGTTGACGTACTTCGAGAAAGAGATGTA